GTTTTCATCAAAAAACTTTGTCCTTGGCAATTATTTGTTAAGATTAATTAACACTTCAAATAAATATTTGGTGTTGGCGTGTCGGTAATTGTCTAAGTGCCGGCTGTGCAATGCAATATTACATCCATTTCTAGGCCAACTGAGCTCGGATTTCAGACCGACTTTGGCCGCTCTAATTGGGATAAGTTTGGTGCCCGAATGGCATACTACATTTGCCGGTAGAATTGGATACAAAAACTTAGTTTTGCCAACAAAGAAACTTTATGCACTTTTGTTTTTCAATTTCTTTTTTGACACTTAAATTATAAGTATTTAATTTAAGCTAGATTAAACTAGGTGGAGGAAAAAACATTTTAAATCAACAGTTTGATAAAGTTTTCAAAATGATAGGATTTATTTATTGATGTTATATTTAAATATAAAAATGTTTTTAAATATATTACAGTGCTACCCAAATTCGATCCATATATCTCGGGCGTTCGAAATGCCTATAAATATCACGACTATCTAGTGGCAAACTGCACTTCAGAAATGTCCAGTCCAATGGCCAAGTTGATGTGGTATATCAACAACATAACGGTATGAATTTTAAAACGATTAAAATAAACTAATATTTTTAAGAATGATTTATACACAAATTGATCACGTAGAACGTGGTTATTCTTAAAAAATGGCTGAAAACGTAGGTTTGCAGGCTTATACTCTTTTTTCCTAATAAATGATTTTATTTTAAATTAAAATTCTACAAATATATGTACTTACGCTAAAATATAATCAGTTTATGAAGTGTAATCCTCAAAGAAACATTATATCCGCCTTGTTATTTATAATTTTTGATCCAATACAAAACAATTTTAAAGTTTCTGGTTTGCTAAAAGTGTATATTTTTTTACCAATTATTTCGAGTTTATCAGCCAGCCTTATTGCATAACTAAGCAATGTGAACGACGTATTTTGGCCCAGTCACAAGGCCCAGACGCGTCATCGCGGTAGTGTGTCGGTCAGTCAGTCAGTCAGTCATCGAACTTGTCCAAATGTTGACAGAGAACTTGAAAAGCAGGACGGCCGAAAGTCACGCCCGCATGTGGTCCCCAATTCGGCTTTTAAACCCTCCGCTTGCCATTTCCATTTCCGTTTCCGTTTACTTCCGGCCACAGGCACCTGTGCACAGTTTGGAGCCGCAAATCAACGAAGTCGCACGCAACACCGACGGCTTTTACCTGTTCACCAGCCACCTACAGTTGCGCCTCCACCTGGATGACCAGCGGTTCATCAGCAAGAGCGAGATGCTGGAGCTCCGGTGCACGGCGGACATCATGGGACTGGCGGCGGTGCGCAGGCAGCAGCAAGTGAGAACCACCATCCTGGCGCTCAAGGACGCCGGCACCAAGCAGCGGCTCACCGAGAACGGCTCCTGCATCACCGGACAACCAGGTGAGTTGGGTGTGAGTGAGCTTTAGATTTAAGTTTCTTAGCATAGTGGCATAATAGTAGCTTTTTATGCCTATTAGTCCACATATGCAAAAATGAAAACAGCAAGCCGTTGTCCTCAGTATTATTGAAGTTGATTATTTTTAATCTACTAAGATCAACTATACAAATATACTCTGTATTATTTTATGTTTTTTAGCTTCCCTGGCCGCTTGGCTTCTAAGCCTTGTTCACATTCTACGCTGGCACGGCTCCCAGAGTTAGTGGTTGGCATTGACGGGCGCTCTATTTGTAGCCTAAGTTTCCAGGACTCGTCTCCAAGTGCACACACTTTAAAACTATACAAAAACATTTAGAGACACGGGCGCCAAATAAATTTGGTGATTCCTCGCACCATTTCGAGCCAAGTGAAAAGTTAACAAGCCAAGGCAGCAACAGTTGAATTTGTACATAGTCGAAATCGAATTAGTCTAGGTCCGAGCAGGAAGCCCAGCCATTTCCTACATGAGTGTAATGCAACATTTATTATGTGTTAAGTGTGAACAAGCCATCGGAAATGCGAAACCAAAAAATCAACGCAGATTGAAAACTATGATGCATAAATTAATATATAGGTATCTAAACGTAAAATTTGCTACCAAATACGATTATATGTCAGTATTATTTTATTGGAGGAGGACATTTCGAATATCAACAAATTTACACATGAATATTTGAGCACAGAAAAAGGAACACACACAATCAATGGCAAGTAAACTTAATTATTGTATGTGAATTGTTAACTGTATTAAATGATGTATGGGAAATAAATAAATAAAAATAAAAAGTCTAAAGGAAATGTGCCTTAGTACAACTTTATTAAGACTAATCTACTTAAGGGCAACGAAATTGTCTGTGCTTTCTTAATCAATTAATACCCCGATATAGATAAACTGCCAATGTGTAGAACCCTCCGGCATTATATAATTTATAATATAAATTAATCAAAACACTGAAAATTTTTATATCAAAAATCCTTTTTATTTCAATAAGTAGAGTGAAAAGGAAAATTGAACTTTGTTTTAAAATATTGTCAAAAGTTATTAGGAAATTATTTTTAAAACTTAAGTTTGCTAAGTAATATTTTCTTCAGGACAAGTGCATAAAAAAATTCTAAAAATGAAAATAAACTGCAGCTTATAGGACTTCAAAACTGCAAGCATTTGTGAAGAGAGCTTTTGTCAATTTGGTAAATTGGCAAATATTCTTAAGTCTTTAAAGTGTTCCCCGATTTCTAAAAAATTTGCAGGGTGCCATGGCAAAGCCTAATCTCAATCTCCAAAACCAAAAGAAACCGCTTATGTCCCTCATTTCCTTTCCAGCAGTCGTTTACCTAACTTATGGCAAACATATACAAACAAAAAAAAAGAAAACGCAAAATGCCAACAACGGAAAATTCGATTTAGCATCCTCCAGAAAATAAATATAAAACCAAACACTTTACAGGGCAGTGAAAAATATTCAACGCATTAGGGCAAATCCGGGCTAAAATATGCAATGGGCAATGGCCGCCGCAGGTGAAAATGACAGCAAGAAAAAAAATCAGTGGCTAAAATAACAAGAACAAAAACTGTCAGGCATTGACCGAAAATTATGCATAAAATTGCCTTGGGCTAAGGGAAAATAACAACAACCAAAATTGGAGCAAACAAAGATAAGTTCCGCCGTCTGTTGGCATGGGCTCGACTTGAGTTCCAGCGCCGGTTTCCGGATACGGCTGTGCACCCCGACTCCGTCTCCCGATTTGCCGCGGGCACATTAAATGACGGAAGTAAATAAGCTTGACAAATTTCCACTCATCATTTTTGCATTAATTCTGCCTCCTTTTTTGGCCAAACCGACAACCCAACAGCCAAGAGACACGGGCACTGCACAAAAAAATGTCCTTTGATTAATCAAAAAATTTACCACGGTCTGTGGAATGGGATAAAACAACAACAACAAAAGTAACAGCAACGGTAAATACAAATATAAGAGGCAAAAAAAAAGAAAAGAAAACCCAACAAATTGCCAAAGAGGCGCCGGCGGTGCTTGGAGAGATTTTTTGAGTCCAGGACGAGGCGCCAAAGCAAAAATCCAACTCATGGAAAGTAGAATTCGCCACAGTTGCTCCGTACTCTCCACTAAGAAAATATTGTGGTAATTTTCCACATTTACAAAACTTCTTTCACAATTATGCATTTTAAAAACTTACGGTATTATATTTAAATTATTACATTTTATTTTTTCATTTAAAGAAACGGATGAGAAAACCTTTAGAATTTTATTTTTGCCATTTGCGTAACTTACTTTAATTTACTAACAAATCAAGAATCACTAAACGAAACACCGGTAATATCAAATATGTATATGTACCTCACCGTAGGTAAACAAATTGAAATCGCTTTTATCGATTGATAACTCGCAAAGACTAAGACCTTTGTTTCCAATGCCTTACAATAACTAACCTTGATAATCACCAAGAAATATTTTTAAAGCAACGAAATATTTTAAATTTTTGTCATTTCCATAAACAATTTAAGATATTCAATATTTAATATTGTTAAGAAAATCAGCGTTATAGAAACTTAATTTTTTAATATGAGGTTTTTAGAGTGCACAAGAGAGCCTTGTTTTGCAGTTGGGGAATATATAGATAGAGATGGCAGCAAACGAAGATTTCACAGATTTTTGCACGCGATTTGTCAGCCCGACATTTCCGGCGACATCACCCTGGGCGGGAATTGGATTTGAGGTGTTTTTTATTTTCACTTCTTGTTCCTGTATTATTCGACTGCCGCAAAACGGGCGACAGTCCAAGTTGATTTAGTAAGTCACGTGGCCGTGTACCCGTAAATTGCCCCATCCGGGGTTTTGAATTAAGGTGTGGGTTCCGTTTTCAAAGTCATGTGCCACAAAGTGTCACCGTGGTTATGTCTGGCCCTTATTTTCCTTTCGTTCTCCCTTCCCAGTCGAATGTTTTTTCACCGAATTTTGCTGAAGAAGTACACACACTTGCCCGCAGGCTTCGGTAGAACACGTACAAAAGGCACTGAATGATATTTTGGGATGAAAAGAGATAAAAGTCATTCCATAGACCTCTTTTTTGTTCGTTCCTTTCCATACTAATTCGGAAAAACTAATTTTATGATGTGTTTTCATGTAGTAGAACCATAATTTAAAAATTTCAGCAAATAGGTCAGTACATTACAAAAACGATAAGGAAATGTTTGAGGAAATTGCACACAATTTACAAGAATATAATCATCCGAAAATGTCGATAGGCAGAGAATCCCATATGTTTTTGAGAGTTAAAAATAAACAAAATGTTTACCACGATAAGTGATCCATTATCAATGCTTCTATACCAAAATCTTCAACGAAATCGCTTAAATTGGTTGTGAAATGGTTTATTGCAACCTGAAATTACAATCGCGAAAAGTTCTACTTGCTTATCGGTTTCCAGCTAAGTTTTCGGACCAACTCAGAGTCTATATAATTTCATATATAAGACACTGCCAACCAGTGAGCTTTATCAGTCTGCTGCTACCGATCCAGCAAAATGGTTCACAGCTCGTGTCGACTTTTGCTGTTGGCGATAGCCATCGCTACTTTTGTAGGTGACTCCCGGGGTGCAAATATTCTGGGTCTCTTTCCGAGCCTGAGTCCCTCACACTTGATCATCCAAATGTCGGCGGCCAAGGCTCTGGCCGAGAAGGGACACAATGTGACTGTGGTCACAGTACTAAAACCAGTGGTGACCCACAAAAACATAAACCTGATCCTGGTGCCGCTCACCAAGGAGGAGGCGCAGCAGATGAGCGACACAATCGGAGTAATGTCCAAGAGCGATAACAGTAACATGATCCTGTCCCTCATCCGCATGTCGGGCCAAATGGACTTCATGTTCAATAAAATGGCAGAGGCCCTTAAGGACGATCGAGTGCGGGATCTGTACCTGAATAGGGACAACAAATTCGACCTGGTTCTCTCTGGATACTTTATGAACGATTTCCAGCTTGGATTCGCAAGAAAGGTAAATGCTCCCGTCATCGTCGTGGCCACAATGCCGCCCAACCAATTGTTGAACCCCCTGATCGGAAATCCCATGGAGGTGGCCTACGTTCCCACGGCCATGACTTTTTGGCAACGTTTGACAGGTTACACAAAAAGCCTCTTCTTTGGCGTTTTCACATTCCTTACCGACAAACGTAATCGGAATTTGTACAAGTAAGCAGGACAAGAAATGTGCAATCCGAAGCGGATTAACATATGAGTATTTCTATTTCTCAGGGACGTTTTTGGAGACGACCCCACCATGCCAGAGCTCTCGGAAATGATTAAAAACACGTCGATGATATTCTTCGCTTCCCATGCGGCCAGCGAAGGACCTATTCGACCCAATGTCCCAGCTGCAATTGAGATAGGAGGCATTCAAATAAAGGACACGCCGGATCCGCTGCCCCAAAACATGGCTTATTTCTTGGGCAATGCCACAGATGGGGCCATCCTCCTGTCCTTGGGTTCCAATGTTCAGGGCACCCATCTTAAGCCGGAAACGGTTGTCAAGATGTTCAACGTCCTTTCCAAACTGAAGCAGAGGGTCATCTGGAAGTGGGAGGATCTGGAGAAGACCCCTGGAAAGTCGGACAACATTCTCTATTCGAAGTGGCTGCCGCAGGACGACATCCTGGCCCATCCGAACATCAAGCTTTTCATTAACCACGCCGGCAAGGGTGGGATAACCGAGGCTCAGTATCACGGAAAGCCCATGCTCTCACTGCCTGTGTTTGGAGATCAACCGGGAAACGCAGACGGTATGGTGCAAAAGGGTTTCGGCCTGACGTTGAGCCTGCTCACATTGGAGGAACAGCCCTTCCGCGAGGCAATTCTGGAAATATTTTCGAATCCTGAGTACTCCCAAAAGGTTGCCTCTTTCTCATCTCTGTACCGCGATCGGCCAATGACCGCTCGGGAATCGGTGGTCTACTGGTCGGATTACGTCATCCGCTACCATGGAGCAGCCCATCTTCAGAGTCCCTTGGTGCACATGAACTGCATAGCCGCCAATAACATCGATGTCTACCTTCTGTTCGCAGTCATACTAGCTATAATTGTTCTGCTTCTAAAGGCGCTGGTAAAATTAATTTTTAGAAAGTTGTTCTCGAAGTCGAAGAAGGAGAAAAAACACTGAAAGTGTTTAATAAGCTTGCGTTAACGTAAGCAAGTAGTGAAAGTATTCTGCCACCATGACATTTCAATAGCGTAATTTAAATAAATGATGAATTAAAATAAATATAAGGTATAGTGTTTTCATTCATACGGAAATAAAGTGTCATATATTTACAAAATTCCCACTTATATGTATGCAGAATTCTTTTGCCAATACAGTCAATATTCTTTTCTATATCACACAATCCAATCAGATTAGATATGCCGTATCTGGAAAGAAATAACAACAGATTGCTAAAATGTGTAAAAACATTTATTTCGTTCACCTATTACCAAAATTACCGAATTGTTAATATTAATAAAAACTAAAAGGGTTATATTTTAATTTTATTTATTAAGTATAACTAATTGTATGACAAACATATTTTCAGTGAGTTTTCTCCTTCTTTGACTTCGATATAAACCTTCTGTAAATAAACTTTACCATCGCTTTTAGAACCAGTATAGCTATAAATAGAACGAATACGAACAGGATAAAGATATCGATGTTATTGGCGGCTATGCAGTTCATGTGCACCAAGGGACTCTGAAGATGGGCTGCTCCATGGTAGCGGATGACGTACTCCGACCAGTAGACCACCGATTCCCGAGCGGTCATTGGCCGATCGCGGTACAGAGATGAGAAAGAGGCAACCTTTTGGGAGTACTGAGGATTCGATAATATCTCCAGAATTGCCTCGAGGAAGGGCTGTTCCTCCAATGTGAGCAGGCTCAACGTCAGGCCGAAGCCCTTTTTCACCATACCGTCTGCGTTTCCCGGCTGGTCCGCAAAAACGGGCAATGAAAGCATGGGCTTTCCGTGATACTGAGCCTCGGTTATACCACCTTTGCCGGCGTGATTGATGAAAAGCTTAATGTTCGGATGGCCCAGGATGTCGTCCTGCGGCAGCCACTTCGAATAGAGAATGTTGTCCGACTTTCCAGGGGTCTTCTCCAGATCCTCCCACTTCCAGATGACCCTCTGCTTCAGTTTGGAGAGGACGTTGAACATCTTGACAACCGTTTCCGGCTTAAGGTGGGTGCCCTGAACATTGGAACCCAAGGACAGGAGGATGGCCCCATCTGTGGCATTGCCCAAGAAATAAGCCATGTTTTGGGGCAGCGGATCCGGCGTGTCCTTTATTTGAATGCCTCCTATCTCAATTGCAGCTGGGACATTGGGTCGAATAGGTCCTTCGCTGGCCGCATGGGAGGCGAAGAATATCATCGACGTGTTTTTAATCATTTCCGAGTACTCGGGCATGTTGGGATCATCACCGAAAACTTCCCTGAAAAGATAAATACAATTAAGACTAATCCGTTTGGAGAGCACATCTTCTGACCAACTTACTTGTACAAATTCCGATTACGTCGCGTGGAAAACAGATCGAAGAGCCCGAAGACGAGGCTCATGCTATAGGTAGTCAAGCGCTGCAAGAAGGGAACACCCTTGCCTATTTCGACGGGATTGGCTCCTACGTAAGAAATCTCCAGTGGATTTCCAATCAGGGGGTTCAACATTTGCATGGGCGGCATGGTGGCTACGACGATGACGGGAGCATTGACCTTCCTTGCGAATCCAAGCTGGAAATCGTTCATGAAGTATCCAGATAGAACCAGGTCGAACTTGTTTTCCCTATTCAGGTACAGATCCCGCACTCGATCGTCCAGCAGGGTTTCGGCATTTTTCCTAAACATAAAATCCATCTGTCCCGACATTTTGAGCATGGCTAAGGCCATGTTGCTATTGTCGTTCTTGGCCATCGCGCCGACGGTGTCGCTCATCTGCTGCGCCTCCTCCTTGGTGAGCGGCACCAGGATCAGGTTTATGTTTTTGTGGGTCACCACTGGTTTTAGTACTGTGACCACAGTCACATTGTGTCCCTTCTCGGCCAGAACCTTGGCCGCCGACATTTGGATGATCAAGTGCGAGGGACTGAGACTCGGAAAGAGACCCAGAATATTGGCAGCCCGGGAGTCACCTACTAAAGCAGCGATGGCTATCGCCAACAGCAAAAATCGACACGAGTTGTGAACCATTTTGGTGGATCGGTAACGGCAGACTGATTAAGTGCACCACCTGAAAGCGACTTTATATTTGATACTGAATACTAGCTGACTTTGGATGACACATCATATTGCTACCGATAACCAAGTAGCATTTTTCGCGTTTGTTGTGCTAGGTTTACCATTTCACAACAAATTTCGGCTGTTTCGTGAAATATTTTTGAACACGAATGTTGATCCCTTATCGCGCAAAACATTCTGCTAAACGTTAGCTCTGAAAAAAGATAGGGATTTCCTTCTTATCTTATCAGTGTTACGGTTTCGGATGATAAGGAACTGTGTTGACGACCTCACGTTTAGATTACTGTATCAAAATGTTATAAAAAATGATTATTCGAATTTCCTTTCAATCTTAACAAGAAAGAAAGCAAACTTCGGCAAGCCGAAGTTCATATACCCTTGCAGCTATTGCATGAATTAAATACTTTCGAAAACATTTAAATTATGATTTACTTCAGTATATACTGAAAAACAGTGAAGCTATGATGATTTGCAGCTCAATTATTAGATAGTTATTTTATATATTTTTATTAGTTCTATGGGAGCTATATGATATAGACGTCCGATTTTGATAAAATTTAAACCATAATTCTGAAATAATTAAACATTGCCATTTGTCGAAGAACTAAACAAAAAATCAAAAAACAGAAAAGTTATAATTTTTTTTCATTTATTTCTCCGATTGTTCCTATGGGAGCTATATGATATAGTCGTCCGACTTTGATGAAATTTAAACCGTAAATCGAAAATATTTAACCATTACTAAATGTCGAAGAACTAAACAAAACATTAAAAAACAGAAAAGTTATAATTTTTTTCATTTATTTTTCCGATTGTTCCTATGGGAGCTATATGCTATAGTCGTCCGATTTTGATGAAATTTAAACCGTAAATCGGAAATATTTAACCATTACTAAATGTCGAAGAACTAAACAAAAAATTAAAAAACAGCAAAGTTATAATTTTTTTCCTTTATTTTTCCGATTGTTCCTATGGGAGCTATATGCTATAGTCGTCCGATCCGGCTCGTTCCGACTTATATACTACCTGCAATAGAAAGACAACTTTTGGGAAAGTTTCATGCAGATAGCTTTAAAACTGAGAGACTAGTTTGCATATAAACGGACGGACAGACGGACAGACGGACAGACGGACGGACAGACGGACGGACAGACGGACATGGCTAGATCGACTCGCCTAGTGATGCTGATCAAGAATATATATACTTTATAGGGTCGGAGATGTCTCCTTCACTGCGTTGCAAACTTCTGACTGAAATTATAATACCCTCTGCAAGGGTATAAAAAGACAGAGAATTGTTTTTGCAATGCCATCGATTGGATACTAAATTAATTAATCATTTTTATTTTAAATTTTCCAAAATAAAAAAAAAAAGTGGTTTTCGGTTATTTAAGTGCAGCGAAATAACTTAATTTATTACGTACTAAGATCATACTCACCAGATTTGATGATAGTTCTTAACCAAAGTTTAAAAAGCCTAAAGCAAACGGTGTGTATTTAGAAGGCCTCCTTGGCTGAGCTCCGCACTAGATGTAATTTGTAATTTCGGCACAGAAAATGTTTTAAATTAAATGAAAACATGTAAGCGGCATCTCCCATGTTCCCATGTATGTAGTTTCAGGCAAATGAAACAAAAGCAAAAACAACCGCATAAGAGCCGCTTCTCAGGCGGTAACAGGTAGGATTGTTTTTCTTCCACTTCCCTTACCATTCCTTGGTTAATTTCTTCCCTTCTTCCCAAGACGGGTTTGCCTCTCCTTTCATTTTCCTATTTTTAAAACGGGGTTTTAATTAAATTTTAGCATGCCTTGATCCATGTGGATTATTTTTAAACAGTTTACATTTGGCCCGATCATGGACATCCATCTCTCCACACATTTCGCCTAACAGTGGCCAGTGACAGTGATTTAAATTAAATATTTGGACGACCAGGCAGAGTCACTGTGTCAGCGCGAAATCAAATAAACATAAACTGTTTTTTACCATATGGTCTTGTCTTTTTTATGTTTTACTTTGAAAATAACTAGCTGAAACTATATTGGTTTTATGCCCAATAGCGAGTGACATACCAAGTGGATTAGAATGAGACCGAGAATGATCGAACATAGGTTGACCTATTTTATATATTTATACAAAAATAAGTTGGTTTAAAAAAATCATATTTAAACATTCAATATTTAAATCATAGGATTTAAACACACATTTATGTAGATAAAATTTCAAATTAAAGGTACAAGCAGAGCTTTGCAAAATCAGACAAGTCAGTGCCAGCGTTGTGTTTTTTTTTTTTTTTTGAGGGACTTGATGTGTGAGCATTGATTTTACATTTTTAGACTAGGCTGTCATTCAACCCTGACTCATGACAAAGCTCTGAGCCCGACATGCGTTCAGCGCGATGATGGCAATTTAAGCCTGCACAGAATCCCTTTTCCGTTGGGCTTTTCCCGGACTACTATGCTATATTTGGCCGGCTAAATCTGCAGATGACCATGTCACTAAAGCGAGTATCGTTAAAAAATACATGTTAACTACATTAAGACAGAAGTCTCAATAAAATATAATTTTAAATCTGAAAGCTGCAATAATTTGTCTTAAATGGTTTGGAAATTCGTAACCGCCAGTTATTTCTATTTACCTATTAAAATATTCGTGGATTTTTTATTCGTCCTCTCTATAAACAATAATTTTACCCATACATTTTTTTTTGTGCATACAGTTTGAAATTTTGTTCCTTTTGATCTCGTTTTTTCGAGTGCATGTTTTGTGTAATTAAATGGAAAATCGTCAAAGGTGGGCCAGTTGACGGATCTGCAGTCCAATTGCTATCCCCACTTGTATTGTGATTCCTCAGAAAGAACTGCCAAAGGCAGCAGTCGCCTTGTCGAATGAATTTTGACTGCTGGCAGTTTGGGGAAAATCTAGTGGAGTGGGTGGAAAAGTGGGTGGATGGTGGGAGAGCAGGCCGTTTTTCACACAGCCTGCCGTATCATTGCCAAATTGCATTGACATATTGTTGCTTTCGGCCATGTCGAGTGTTCTTGGGTCCCTGCGACTGTCAAATTGTCGCGTCACGATTCCCGAATCCGGCTAAAGGCAATCGTTATTGCCAATCCAGATGCCCATTCCATTTCCTCTGCCTTTGCCAGAAAATGTTGCCTATAAAGCCTTTGGCTTTACGCTTGGCATTAAGTGGACTTATAATTAAACGATTTGCTCATTTAATCGCGTCCGTTTATCGTCCACTGAACGAGCATGGCAACGAATGTCTCTTCGCTGCAGGACATTTGGAGAATGTGTATCATGTCACTGTTGTTGTAGTTAATGTTGTTGTGATTTCTGATTCAACATTTTCCAGTGGCCCGAAGATAAGGTGCATGGAAATAATTTATTGGCCAGAACTTAATTACTAGCTGATGCAACACATTTTGGGTAGAAAATTTAAGTAGATAAAAATAATACAATTTAATTTAATATAAACATTTCTTCACCATTCAAAATTGCTCTGCCATATTTAAAGAAACATAGTTTTTAAATAGTATACTTATATGCCAAATTCACGGCTGAATACATAATTTAGTAGTTCTACTTCTATATCACAACCGACAATAAATTGCGTGAAATTTTAACAGTTTGCTGATCCCTCAGTAGAGCTAGTACATTTAACATAATATTGAAGACAACAACATACCAATTAAGTGCCGAAAAAAATACAGTGGGTAGGAAGAGAACTTTGAAATGTCAAATAGATTGTGCCACCTTCCAGCACGGGTAATATCCCACATGGGCACCATTTAAGCAATCTGTCATATACCCGCCAAGATGCTTAACTTTCACCCCACCTCGATTCGCATCTTTTCCGGGTCCTTTTTTTATGACAGGACAAGACAAGCGAGCGACAAAAACAACGATAACAAGAACAGGAAAAATAAATGGGCAACCGAAGAGGCGTGCGAAAATGTTGGGAAACCTTATAGCACACACTGAAAGAAAATATTTTAATAGGCGCTTTTTGTTTCGTATTCGACTTTAAAAAAAAAAACACTTAATTTGGTCCTTATTATAAAAGGCACATTTTTAAGGTTTTCAAAATGTACTATTTTTAGACCTTGTGGTATTTTCGAAGAACAAGAAATAAAATACTGCCTGTAAGGTATTTCTGAAAATAGTTAATTTATTTTGAACCCCATTAAAAGATTTTAAAAATATATTTTTGTCTGAGTGCCTTAGAAGGCCTAACGAACGCCAGGAAAAGTGGATGAGACGCTGCCGTGCAGTTATAAAAATTGTTATCTTAAAGCTTCTGTCAGTTAGCTGGAGTTCCCCTACAGGTTCTCTGGCTGTCTGCTGATGAGAACGAAGTTGACAATACGAATGAGTTTCTTATAACAACAGCCGGTAAAAGGAATGAAAAAAGGAAAAGCGAGTGGTGGGGCGGATACAAAATGAAGCGACAGCAAAAAGTGCGAACGTGCCGCCAAAAAAAAACGGAGGGATTGAGGTAGTCAAGTAAACTCAAGAATCGCAATGGAAACTTTTGGCTCTTGGCTCAGATTGAGCTCTTTGGTTTGTCCAAGACTCTCGGATAGTAAATCTTGTTTCACAAAAAGAAAATATGACAGCAAACGAAATGGCTTGTCTGTATTTTATCTTCTTGTTGTGTTTTAGCCAAAGTTTAATAAATCAAAATTTTTTTATTTTTCGATTTCACTCAGCATACATGTATTTAAAAGATTCAGGCCTTTTTAACAGGGTGAGATTTAATAGGCTTTACTATTAGTTAACCAATTGTTATACCTATATAAACAAACAAATAGTACACAAATAATGTTTGATAATAAATTAAAATGGTTTAAAGGACAACGAAGACTAGTCAGATAATAACTTTAAATTGTTGGCGATTATCAACATGTACATATACTATTTAGGGTATAAAAATGTTTTCAGTTTCTCTTTTTTAAAAGTTTGGCGTTGATGTTAAAAAAATTGTAAGATTGAA